CTGGCTCCGACCGGTGTACGAAGACAAGCACATCAACTTGGCTGAGCTCGATGCTGTGTTGCGAGGTGTCAACCTTGCATTACAATGGAAGGCCAAAACCATTCATTTACGGACACTCAGCATGTGTGCATCACTGGGTAGCTGACACTCTGTCCGGAGGGACAAGAGTGCGCACCAAGGCAGCCTCCGAGATGCTAATCAGACGTCAGCTAGCCACATTCCAAGAGTTGGCCTTAGAATACGAGCTGGACATTGATGTAGAGCTTGTCAAGTCGTGCAACAATCAAGCCGACCAACTTACTAGAGTACCGCAGCGATGGTTAAATGAAATGCGCAAAATAACGGAACCCAGAGAACCTATGTGCCCTGTGGCTGAAGAGCGAGATGTTGCTCAAGTATGAGCCATTCATCAATCCAGCGGACATCCTGGTGTGAAGAGAACACTCTATTTTGTGAAGTTGATCGACCCAAGAGTAACAAAAGCTGAGGTGCAAGCGGTGGTTAGGGGATGCAAGGAATGCCTGTCAATTGACCCGGACCCTGTGTGTTGGAAACCAGGGAGGCTTGATGTCTCGGAAAATTGGCACAGGGTTGCGATGGATGTAACCCATTTCGGACATCATCTATACCTGACGCTGATAGACTGCGGCCCCAGTCGTTTTGCCATTTGGAAGCCTTTGCACTGCCAAGACTCTGCTAGAATAATCAAGGAGTTGGAAGTAGTGTTTTGTGAAAGAGGGCCGCCAGTTGAGCTGCTTACGGATAATGGCGCAGCGTTTTGTGGAGAGAGGTTTGCCGCGTTTGCAAAGATGTGGAATGTACAAATACGATTTCACTGTGCCCACGTAGCATCGGGGAATGGGATAGTTGAGAGATCCCATCGTACAATAAAGCGCATCGCGACGAGAACACGGTGTTCAGTTTTGGAAGCTGTATATTGGCACAATGTTACCCCAAAGGACAATAAAACAGCTTCAACTGCACCGGCGAATGCAACCTACACTTACAGTGTCTGCATTAAGGGTATCGACGCAGCTTTGGTGCGTGACGACAGAGTTGCCAATCCTTATACGGTAGGAGAGACTGTCTGGGTGAAAAATCCGCACAGAAGGTGTACGACACAGTTCAACAAGGGTACGGTGACACAAATTAATAGCCCACACTCCGTCTCTGTTGATGGAATACCGCACCACATAAAAGATGTGCGTCCAGCGTGCGGGAAGGATTATTCCATCAGCAACCACGTTAGTTCTTCTTCTGATGATGAAGCCCCGATGGTATACATAAAATCACAGGAAGAGCACACCTCAGAGAGTAGCGCACCTGATGAACCTATGCGGGATGAGTTCAGCGAGACGTCTGAAGAGAGCACCACTGAGGAAGTGCTTGAGACCATACCACTGAGACAGAGCACCAGGCAGAAACAGCCTGCCTCACATTGCCATTTGTGTGATCTAGAGATCAGGGAGGAGTGTAACGAGCATGCGCGGAAACCTCCTCGAACTGCGTGTGTGTGTGTTGTGCCAGGCACACCTTCGAGTACCATAATGAACTCGACCGAGGACTACAAGAAGACGTGTGAGTCGTTTGGTGTATTTTCTTGGGCGACAGAAGCCGTTGCGGTCGGTCATCCGTCGGCAGCAGTCTTGGGTGCCGTTTTGCTCGTTTGCTGTCGTAAAGTGTTCATTCGCAAGAAGGCATTCGTTTTCGTGTTGCATTCATTTTTGTGTCGCAAGAAGGCGTTCGTTTTTGTGTCGCAAGAAGTTTTTTTTTCCCCCGTTTTCTCACACAATACTATACCAAATAGTAGTTGATAGTTGTAAATAAGTATGCAGATCTTCATTTATTTGCATTATTTACATGCAGATCATTGTCCTCATCTTTGTTGCTGTTATCACAACATTTTGACCATTGTGCTTAATGAGCTTCATTAGATGATTGTCAAACAAACTGAATCCTTTAAAATATCTCAACTTGGTTACTTTCATAACATATTTTTATTTTTTAAATATTTTATTGTATTGTTTAATAATAGGCACAAAACATTGTCTCTATAAATATTGTAATATGGGTACAAAATATAATAATGATAATAAATTAAAATGGACATGTTTAGTAAAACAACAAGAGTAAAAGAATTACAAAAATGTTTTACACTACCATAAAGTGGTAATAGAGAAATACAATTTACAAAAAGTAGCTTAACCAGTTTATTGATCCCATTAGAGTGAATCAAGGATGAGAAAGATACACTATGAACTTATTCTATTACTTGTTGTGTAAGGAATCAGGAGATATCATTTTCAAGGATCCTGCTTACAATAGGATGGTTGGCAGAACATAATATAAATTAACTGTAAAAACTTAAAGTGAAAATCACTGAGCCTTCCTCACTACTGAGAAGATGTCTTGATTACAGGACTTGTTAATGTTTAACCATCACCAAACAAGCTGTCTTAACACGTCTATACAAACTGTTCAACTTGCTCTTCTGAAAATTGGCTGGTACATTCTTGCTTCCAATCTTTGGGCCATTCTGCCTAACATTTGAAATGGTAAATTACCAACAACCTTTTGGATTGATTTCAACATAGGTTGGAAAGTAAAGATAATTAGCAGACAGATCAGTTTATCACACCCAGAAATTTGCCTAGCAAAAATGCTACTCATATCACCAATCCATGATATATACTGTGACAGGGCCCTCAATGTTGAATGTTAAATCAGATGTTTATTAAAGGACAGGCTTTCTTTGTGTTTCCTCTTCTTTCTTTTCTTTTTTTTTTCTTGTCTAGACCAAGTCCTGTCTTGGCTAAGAAATGGCAAGAAAGAATCTGTGTCACTTGACAATTAGACAGATTGACCTCCTAAGGGAGTAAGTAAAAGTCAGTCATCCAAGCCCATTTGGGATTTTGTAATTGTATTTTAGTTTTCTGATAATCTCTGACCACAACAGTTCATAAGTAAATTGACTCTCATCGTGTGCTCATGAAAGATGCACTATGAACTTATTCTATTACTTGTTGTGTAAAGAATCAGGAGATATCATTTCTGAGGATCCTGGATTTATTCAACATCTGTGCCATGTGTTCCTATCTGAATGAACTCATTTACTTTTTTTTTAACCTGGGGTTCATGTTTCTTATGTTGAAAATTCATAATGATATAAATAGGACATTTCTGGGGGCCATTCAGCTTAGGTTTTACAAATTGTAACATTTTTAACCCAAATACTAGCTTACACAGTATTCATTTGGTATATGTTTTTGCTCAAAACTTTCTCAAAAAAAAAATCAATTTCTGAGTAAATTACTAGGGTACTATGAACTATGCTCTTTATAAGGTTTCTTTTAGCTGTCTTGAACAGAAGGAATTCCAATAGAAATATAAACCAGTGATGGTTGGTTTCCAGTACAATGTTATAAGAAACAAAGCTAAATTTGCTGCAGCCAGTGCTTAAAAGGTATACTGTTGACTCAAAGATACTTTCAACATTTGCCAGTTTCATGCAGAAGTGTCCTTTCAATTCTGACAGTAAATTCATGTGGTCATTTGACATCAGAAGTTTATACACCTATGCAAAATTGATATTTGTGCTGGTATTTTATACAGTAGTCATCTGTCTTCCTGAGACAGATGACTACTGATGATATTCCTGAGGTTATCTTCATTAAGTTGAAGTATGCCACTTCTGTGAAATTTATCTTTGACAAGATCATGTATAGTCAAATAGATGGGATACCTATTAGTAGTCCTTTGAGTCTGACATTGACCAATATATTTGTTGGTTTTCACAAACAAGATTTAACTGAACATATTAAAGGACCCAATTATTATGTTACATATGTCAACAGTGCTTTTTGTGTGTTCAATAATAAGGTTGAAGCTGGGGTATTTCATGAAACACTAAACAAATTAGACCTGGCTTTACAATTTATATGTAAAAAGGAGAAAAATGGTGTTCTTTCTTTTGTAGATCAATTGATACACAGATTGTTTCATCAGTGTATCAGAAACTAAACTTTACTGGTTTATATCCCCATTGGGATTCCTTCTGTTATTGTGCACATTTCTTATCTTTAATGAGAGGATCAATAAACTGTTTAAGCTGCTTCTGTGCTGCGTTTTTTTTTGTTTTGTTTTTTTTCATCATTACTACTTTATGGTAGTGTAAAACATTTTTGTTACTCTTCTTTTTTGTTGTTCTTTTACTCTTGTTGATTTAACTTGTCAGTTTCGATCACTATTATTGTGTCTATAATAATGAAAATGAGAATAATAGTTTGAGAGAATTGAATATCAAAGTAAATGGACAACTTCTCATCTTTAAAAGCAAAAATTATCAAACCAGCAGTATGAATCCACCAGGATGCTCCAGCTATAGATTAAATAGTAGGACTTGTATCTGAAAAAAAAATCATTATCTCCCCAAAATCATTAATGTTATATTCACTCATAAAAAAAAAAAAATAAATTGAATTATTCTTACAATCTAAAATATGTTTCAGCTTTAAATAACCAACAAAGAAGGCCATAAAAATCAAGAAAACAAACCCACTATGATAACGATGAAAACCATCTGATATATTGGATATAAAAAGGTTACGCTAATGTTATTTGGGTTAGTGACATAATGGATATCAAAGTTGGTTAAAACAACTGTTGCTGTCATCTTATGGTATTTCACTCAATCCTATGATCAGGTAGTTAAATAGTATATTCTGGTTCATCAATTACAAACAAGAAATAGTATTACAGGGACAAAATAACAATAATCATCACAGAAGACATATCAGGTAAAATAATAGACACCTGAAAATGGCCAAAGGATACTTGGCTGGAACATAATGTATATAATAACATTTTCTAATAATAAACATGAGAACAATAGTTTGAAAAAGTTAAAATATATTGACAATTCTTCATCTCTAAAATTATGACAATTACTTTAACACATAAAAGATAATTTTGTAAAATTCATGAAAAGAAAAAATTCTTACCTTGGACAAACTTCTGTTTCTTGATCCTGATTATGTAAAATTCCATTCTCAAAGATTTTAGCCAGAGTTCCATAGTTTATTGGTGATGTAAGTGTATCCAAATTAAGAGGAGATGAAAGGGTCCCAATGATTTTTTGTGAAGTTAATGTTAGGGGTGCAACAAGTGTATCTTGACTGTTTAGTGAAAAAAATGAGCTGCAGCTTTCATTGTCCAACACAACTGGGGATGAGAAAGTGCCATGATTGATTGGTGAGGAAAGGGCTTTATTTTTTACTGGTGATGGAAGTGTATTATTTTTGGCTGGAAGAGTCCTGTGAGGCAATGAATTTGAATAGTTCAATGACGAAGATGTGATAGTTGCAGAACAGGTGGCCAGAAAGGAGGCACCAGAATGATTGTTTGGTGAAACGATATCATCTTTATTCATATGTGAAGAAGAATGTCCATTTTTTAAGGGAATGTTTGCTGGAACTGTGGATGTACCTGAATGGTTTACTAGTGGAGAGATGATGGTTAAAGTATCAAATTTGTACTGGTTGCTTCCAGGTTTTAGAGTATCACAATCAAAACTGTCCTCCTCTTCATCTTCTTCAATCTCCTCCAGTCTGTCTCCTTTTTTTGCATCATATTCTTCCACTGATTCATTCTCATTACTTTTGTCCTCAGTGTCACTATGTGTGACTGCAACTACATTTCCACTAGAGAAAAATTAAAAATATATATATAATATTATTTATATAAAAACAACATAATTATACTGAAATATTTATTTAGCTAATTGGTATGTCTCCAATAATGATTTTCTTTCTAACTTTTTTCTTAACTCTTGAATCTTAATGATTCCCTTTCTAACTTTTTCTTGCTTTTCTCAGTTTCATGCATCCGAGATATGCCAGTGAGGATATTTAAGAATGAAAGAATTAAACAATAAAGCAGCACAAAATAATTTGGCTGACAGATGTCTTAAAAAATAAATACATGATTTACTAATAAGTAAAAAATATGAAATGCAAAAATGACAAAATACCAATGAAGACAACTTCAGTTTTTATAAATTATTTAACATGCTTGTGAGAAGATGTCATTAGTTTATCGGCTCAATCATTTATTGAACGAGTTAATGTTTGGAATAATTATCTGAAAGCAATTCAGATTGTCAGTTCTGATGCTAAAGAATAACTTACATATTTTACAATGTTTTTCTTCTTTGATTCCAGTTTCCATGTAAATTAAATTTGTAATAAGAAAGCAAATTTTCTAATACAGATTTATTGTTAAGAATGAGGCTTGCATAAGTGTTTAAAAAGATTCTTTTTGTAAAATTGGATAACAAGAAATTAAGTTGTTTAACAATTCCAATACAGTTTCACTAATCTTTTATTTCTTTTTATTTCTCAGGGTAAATATTTTATTTTATACATTAAATTACTTTTGTGATCACTAATTTATGCATATTTGGACATTGAGTTTACAAACATAGAGCTGGACAAAGACAATATTGTTCTGATAGGGTTCATATATATATATATATATCTATATGTAAAAGGAACTTAAGAGAAAAGAAAATTTAAAAGTCAATTGGAAGTTATAGCAAGCTAGGTGACCAGTACATAGTTCTTTAGTATACGTATTGATAAGTATCACCTCTCAACACAAAATATCATCAACTAATAAATGGAATCATGTCTTAAAAGGCAAAGCAACTTGCTAATGAAGCAAAACACTTGTCAGATGTGTTAAGAATCTAAAGGAGGCTATCTCACTGAACATAATTTCCACTTTTATAGTCATTTAATGATGTACACATGTTAGAAAGTTGCAGTCAGCAGCAGGTTCCATATAAGTAGATCAGTGAAGTGCATTGGGTTGTATATAATCAATAGAAGTGAATCCAGTAAGAGCATTCACTTTTTAAAATATCTTTGCAAAGAGGTCAAGATAAATAAAACAAGACAAAGAATCCAAATAAAAAATGGGTAAGAAATTAAATGAAAAGGAGGAGCTCCTAGGTATATAATTCATTGTAGGAGTAAATTTCAGGGATACAATAAATACCCATTGTATAAACCCACCTAAATCAAAGAATGCCACTTTCAATTCCTATAATGCAAGTGTTATCTTCTCTTCTTGAAGACTAGACTTTTACAATCTCTCATTCTAAATTTAAAATGTTCCTGTAGTTTGTTTTTTCTATCAAGTCATCAACAGATGAATAGGTCACATATAGAATGTTTTTGAAATGTCATGAGCCTTCAAAACATAGGCAAGCATGGATCTCTACAGATTCCTTTTCTTTATTATCTATGAATTGACAAGCAACTTTGTGGTGAGAAAGAAAGTCACTTAACAAGAAAAAGGGCATGTGTGTTCTGTACAATATGCCAAAGATGAAATAACCAAAATAGAAACAAATCAGTTGCAGCTGTTACTATAAATGCATTTTGGATATGCTAAAATTGTTTGTTTTCTCCAACCATCGACCAATGAAAAAATTGTTCCATTGATAAGAGCAGTTGTCATTCATGAAATGGGGGTAGTTTATTTTTCTATCTACATCCATCAGCTTGTGAGTGACTTTTGCATTGTGCATTGGATTTCTGACTGTTTATGTGTATTGGGATTTTTGACATTGGACCTGCAATTCATGATGTCAACATTTCTTTCTGCCCTAGATCTTTGAGTCTGGACTTGTGACTTGTTTATTTTGTTTGGACTTGAGCTGCCATATCAGTTTTTGAACAAGCTATCTTGGCAACAAAACTGATGGAAAATTCAATATAAACTTGATTCCTGAATTTGACAGCAGTGGGTCAATAATACAATAGGTTGAAAAAGTCAAATTCAGTCAGCCTTGCTGCTGCTGCTTGAGGAGTTACTGACCAAGGTCTGGTGCTTATGAAGGAAGAGCCAGAAGAGGAACTGGTGGTAGCAACTGCAAGGCCCATCCAAAGTAAATTCAGGCACATTGCTAATGCTGCCATAGGTGCTAGGTGCCAGGGCACCTGTCACAAGATTGTCCAGAAAATGGGTCAGGGGGTGACACATCAGTGCTATCCTTGTCTTCCTCCAGGATGTAAATGCAATGCTACCAGTTGTGATGCCTCTCCTACCTGACCACATCAATGCCAGTCTCTCTTTCCCGCAAGTCATGAAAGAGACTCCCTGTTATTGACATACACATTGATGGTATGAAATGTACCATTTTCGTGGATACAGGGTGTTCACATTTGCTTATGAACATATCCAATTGTCATCTATAGAAAAAACAAGAGGTGGGTTGGCTGATGGAAAGGTCCACAGAAGTAGAAGAGTCACAAGCATGGAAGCCTACATAGACAATCGTGACCTTATCAATATAGATGTTCTGGTCATGGAGAGAAAATTGTTAGGATTCAAACTGCTCCTTAAGATGTATGTCATTGAGAGGATGGGTGGTGTTCATATTAGAAAAATGGGTGATTTCAGGTGTAGCATGAACTTACAGTCATGGATAGATGACAAGTGGCTGATACCTTACCTTGAAAAAGAACTTGGTCCCCCAAGGGACCTGATCTCATTGATGGCAGTGGTTCAAAAGTTAGATTACCATGAGCTAAATGAACATGTTGATGCAAACATACATGGCTCATGCAGATGTTTGTGCTGAAAAATTGAGAGAATGGCAGAGAAAAGGACCCAATGTTTCTGTGCTTGATCTTCGCAAGGCGTACATACAAATCTGTGTGCATTGATTGCTGTGGCCATTAAACTGTCATTTACAATGGGTGTAGGTACTGCCTGAGAAGAATGGGATTTGGGCTCAATGTGGCACTGGCTATCATGAAAGTCATTGTGGATACCATGCTGGCAAAAGATGAGTCCATTTTCGAGGTCACTTCAGCCTATATTGATGACATCTATGTCAATGAAGATGTGACATCTGCAGCACATGTAAAACAACATCTTGCTAACTTTGGACTGACATGCAAAAACCAAGAATGATTGGAGGACAATACCTGAGTACTTGGCTTGCAAGTTTGGGGGGAGCAGAACACTTTGTACTGTAAGCATGGGGTGAAGTACCAAAAGGACTTGATGTTTTGATTCGGTGAAAAATATTTTCACAATGCAGAAAATTAGGAAACTTTCCTGTTTGTGGCTGGCTCTAGTATTATGACCACCTTCATCAAATGCAGAGCAACTGAGGTTATGTCCAACTAGGATGAGGAAGTAACATCCCTACCCTCTCTGCAACATGATTATGGATGTCATTACTAGAGCACTCCAGGATGACCCTGTATGAGTCAAGTGGTGTATCAAAAGACATGAGTTTGAAGTATGGATCGATGCAACTGGAGTGTCCCTTGTTAAATGGGGGTGTAGTAGAGGATGCATGCTGGTTTCATCCTGAAAAGGATGTTCAGCATATAAACGTAACTGAGTTGGATACCATACTTAGGAGTGTTAATGTAGCACTTCAGTGGAAGGCAAAAAAACTGCACTTGTTCATGGATTCTGCATGTGTTCATGGATGGATATCAGACACTCTTACTGGAAAGGCTAAAATACATGCAAAGGCCTCAAAGGCAATGCTCATTTGGAGGAGGCTTAGCACTTTGGAAAAATTAGTCAGTGAATATGACATATTGGTGGACATAAAGCTGGTGAAATCCAAACAAAACCAAGCTGACGAGGGTACCACAGAGATAGCTTAATACAGTGAGGAAGGAGACTGAACTGGTGAAACTTTTCTGTGCAGCATCACTGAGCAAATGCAATTTGGACAAGATAAGATCAGTACACTGTCAAAATAGGCATCCTAACACTAAAAGGACCCTGTATTTAGCAAGGCAGATTGATCCAGCAGTGTCCAAGGTAGCAGTTAGAGTAAACATTACCTGTCAAAGACTGACTGTGGACTCACTCTACTCACAATCTGGTAACAACTGCATCAATAAAAATTCAGCCAGCATCATCAACCATTTAAAGGCCCTATTTTTTGAACAGGGGACCTCCTGCTGAATTTCTCACCAACAATGACACTGCTTTCTGTAATAAAGCATTCAAGGAGTTTTTAGACAGGTGGGGAATCCATATCAGTTTACACTGTGAGCATGTCACCTCTGGTAGCAAGACTGTTGAACATTGTTACTGAAGTGTAAAGCAAGTTGCCATGAGGAAATAGTGCTCAGTGATGGAACCTGTATATTGGCACAACATTGCACCGAAAGATGACATGTCACCTTCCACTGCAGCTGCCAATGGGATTTACCATTAGAGTCTGGGCACAAGGTATTGATAAAACACCTCCACCAAAGCAAGAATGTGGATGACTGACATATGGTTTAGGGAACCTTGTGTAGGTAAAAACCCCTCAAAATCAATGTACAATTCAATATTAACTGGGATGTATTACAGGGTTTCTAAACCCTGTAATACATCCCACTGTGCACGATTTTTGTTGATGGGATGCCACACCATGTGAGGGATCTGCATCCCTTTGTCAGTTGAATCACATCAACAAATGATGTTGACAGCAAGTCCTCTAACAATGAGGGACTGGGCAAAATAAAGATGCCATGATTATGTCATCAGAATAAAACTGCTCAGCCTAGTGGAAATACATCTAATGTCCCTTTTGGAGGTGATTCATTGGGAGAGGAGACGGTAGTTCTTCCTTTAAGAAGCACAAGCCTTAATAGACCTACCCTTGGTTGTC